TATTTTATTTTACTTTTAAATTTAAATTAGAAACAAGGTTGCTTCACATGTCAATTCCAGGTCCCTCTCCCTTTCCCTCCCCTCCTTCTGTGCCCTCCCACCAACTCCCCAATATCCCCTCATTTCCCCAGGGAGGGTCCATAGTCTGTCATTTCATCCAGGGCAGGGCCTAGACCCTTCCCCAAGAGTCCAGGGTGAGAGTGCATCTCTCATTGTTGGATGGGAGCCCAAAGTCCATTTGTATACCCGGAATAAATACTGATCTACTACCAAAGGCTCATGGGACACTTTGAAAGCAGTGCTACGAAGGAAGTTCATAGCACTAAGTGCCCACATGAAGAAACTGGAGGATAGTTACACTAGAGAATTAACAGCACAGCTGAAAGCTCTAGAACACAAAGAAGCAAATTCACCCAGGAGGAGTAGACGCTAGGAAATAATCAAATTGAGGGCTGAAATCAATAAAGCAGAGACTAGGAAAACAATACAAAAAAATCAATGTAACGAAGAGTTGGTTCTTTGAGAAAATCAACAAGATAGACAAACCTTTATCCAAACTTACCAAACGACAGAGTTTGAACATGCAAATTAACAAAATCAGAAATGAAAAGGGAGCCATAACAACGGACTCTGAGGAAATTCAGAGAATTATCAGGTCATACTTTGAAAACCTGTACTCCACACAATTTGAAAATCTAAAGGAAATGGAATTTTCTGGATAGATATCACTTACCAAAATTAAATCAAGAACAGATATGCAATTTAAATAGACCTGTAACCTTTAAGGAAATAGAAGCAGTCATCAAAAGTCTCCCAACTAAAAAAAGCCCAGGGCCAGATGGCCTCAGTGCAGAATTCTACCAGAAATTCAAAGAACAGCTTATACCAATTCTTCTCAAAGTATTCCACGCAATAGAAGCAGAAAGGTCTTTGCCAAACTCTTTCTACAAAGCTTCAATAACCTTGATACCCAAGCCACACAAAGACACAACTAAGAAAGAGAACTTCAGACCAATATCTCTCATGAACATTGATGCAAAAATACTCAATAAAATGCTGGCAAATCCGATCTAAGAACACATCAGAAAACTCATCCACCATGATCAAGTAGGCTTCATCCCAGGCATGCAGGGTTGGTTCAACATATGAATATCCATCAATGTAATCCACCATATAAACAAGCTGAAAAACAAAAATCACATGATCATTTCACTGGATGCTGAAAAAGCCTTTGACAAAATCCAACACTCCTTCATGATAAAAGTCTTGGAGAGATCTGGGATAACAGGAACTTACCTCAACATAATAAAAGCTGTATACAGCAAACCAATAGCCAACATCAAACTAAATGGACAGAAACTCAATGAAATTCCTCTAAGATCAGGAACAAGACAAGGCTTTCCACTCCCTCCATACCTTTTCAATATTGTACTTGAAGTTCTAACTAGAGCAATAAGACAACAAAAGGAGATCAAGGGGATACAAATTGGAAAGGAAGAGGTCAAACTTTTACTATTTGCAGATGATATGATAGTTTACATAAGTGACCCAAAAAACTCCACCAGGGAATTCCTGCAGCTGATAAATACTTTCAGCAAAGTGGCAGGATACAAGATCAACTCAAGAAAATCTGTAGCCCTACTATATACAGACGATAAAAGAGCTGAGAAAGAAATCAGAGAAACATCAACCTTTACAATAGCTACAAACAACATGAAATACCTTGGGGTAATGCTAACCAAACAAGTGAAAGACCTGTATAGCAAAAACTTTGAGTCATTAAAGAAAGAAATTAAAAAAGACACCAGAAGGTGGAAAGATCTCCCATGCTCTTGGATAGGTAGGATCAACATAGTAAAAATGGCAATCTTAAACACCTGCACCACACACACACATCATAGATAAGATAATAGCAGCAGTAATAACAGATTTTTCTTTCTGTTCTGGCCACCCTTCAACTATTTCATCATTAGTGGGGACTCATGAGGATGCTGAGAACAAACATTGTTCAAGTTGTTGCTACGTTAGACGTAATCTGTGCATGTCATACAGTATTTCCCTGCTGGAGACCTGAGGAAAATATAAGGCAGTGTGTACTCACAAATACTGCCTGCCATCTTCTCACATTGTTGGACCCTTCCCCATAGGGATCTGCTGACCAGCTTGTGACAAGGAGCTTCTAGCAAATATTTCTTATTCTCCCTCCTCCCAGTAAAGCCTGAATGCAAGTTCCTGTTTTCTGCCCATCCTTATTGCCTGAATGCAAGTTCCTGTTATCTGCCCATCCTTATTGCTGGAGGGCCCTGGGAATATGTACGTCTGACCTTGGTAGTTTTCCACCGTGCCTGCTAACTGGTATATAATGCTCTCCTCTTGTTGCAATAAATGGCATTCTCCTTGCAAGAATGACCCGCTGTTGCCCGGTGTTGGTGGCGCACACCTTTAATCCCAGCACTTGAGAGGCAGAGGCAGGCGGATCTCTTTGAGTTCGACACCAGCCTGGTCTACAGAGCGAGTTCCAGGACAGGCTCCAAAACAATACAGAGAAACCCTGTCTCGAAAAACCAAAAAAAAAAAAAAAAAAATGACCCACTGTCTTTTGTCTTCATTTCAAACCTCAGGCCCTCGCCTGAATCCTTGAAGAGTTTTGTAGCCCGAGGGCTACAAATGGAGGTTCCTCCAAGATCAGGAAAGAAGGACAAATGCTGAAGGATCACACTCGAACGCTGGCCAGCTAGTAAGGTAGGAGGGTGTATTTGGATAGGGGTACCAAGCTAGGGGTACCAAATTAGTCTCCAGCCCCTGACCGATTCACTGAGATGGGAAAAGTTAGGGGTAAACTGAGAGATAGCCCTCATTGAAGGCCTGGCAGCATCCTCATTAAAGTAAGGAGTGAGTGTATTGAACATGGGTGCTGCTAGTTCTTACCTCCTTATGGAGGACCAGTTGGTCCAATTGCTTAAAAAGCAGGACACTGGTATCAGACACAAGACAGCAAAAGACTTTTTAAAACTATACATAAGGTCAGTTCTTGGTTTTTAGTCTCTGGTGATCTTAATTTCCTTGATTGGGGGCAGGTGAGAGAAGACATACAAAGGACTTTACATAAAGAAGGGCCAGGCCGGGCGTTGGTGGCGCACGCCTTTAATCCCAGCACTCGGGAGGCCGAGGCAGGCAGATCTCTGTGAGTTCGAGGCCAGCCTGGTCTACAGAGTGAGTTCCAGGACAGCCTCCAAAGCCACAAAGAAACCCTGTCTCGAAAAACCAAAAAAAAAAAAAAAAAAAAGAAGGGCCAAATACCAAACCAATTGCTACCTTTTCTCTGTGGCGTCTTGTTAAGGACACGCTTCTTAGTGACAGGTATGCTCAAATTGTAAATCCACAAAAGGCCAATTATGGGCTGCCATCTGTGAAGAACTGACCAGGGCGTCAGAGATGGGCAAACAAGACTAGTGGGAAACAAGGAGATAACACTATTTACTTAGGGAGAGATAATTAACTCATGCTAAGGTTTGAGGAATTTACAACATTGTAGGTCAGGAAGACATCTACTTCCCTGGGTCGGGAGTTACGTACCCCCTTCCCCCGTCACGAGATAAGGACCCCTCCCAAAAGCTTGTGGTTTTTGTCTTTAAAAGCTGATTGTAACTGAACCTCGGGGCCAATCGGTCTAAAAGCTGACCAAGAGGCCCATCTGCAGATGCCTAATTAAAGCCTCTTGCGTGTTGCATCAATTGGCGCGTGGACTCTTGATTCTTGGGGTGACGAATCCAGCTTGGGGACCCCTCCTCAATTCGGGGTACCCCAACAAAATCGGTTTGGTTTTACAAGGGCTCAGTAAAGCACAATCCCTGCATAAACACTTTCATCTCAGCGCAGGGTCCTTATGCTTTCATGCTGGGATAACCAGAGAGCAAGCTGTCCAAATAGTAAAGAATTGCCCTCTTTGTGTAGAATTTCTTCCTGTGCCTCACTTGGGAGTTAATCCCCAGGACTTTTGCCCAATCACATGTGGCAAACGGATGTGACGCATGCCATCCTTTGGTAAAATGCAATTTGTCCATGTTTCTGTAGATACTTTTCCTATCTGATATTCGCCTCTGCCCACTCTGGTGAAAAAGTAAAAGATGTTAAGAGCCACTGTTTACAGGCTTTTGCATACATGGGTCCCAAAACAAATTAAGACTGATAATGGCCCCACCTATGTCAGCAGAAGTTTCAATCACTTTTGTCAAGATTTTTATATTTCCCCCAAAACTGGAATTCCTTACAACCCCCAAGGGCAGGCTATTGTGGAACGCGCCCATTGCACTCTGAAAGCCTATTTGGCTAAAGAAGGGGGATCTTGGGGTCACCTTGGCTCCCCTCACTCTACTCTATCACTTACCCTCTATATTTTACTTTTTTAAATTGCGGATGCTTCTGGTAACTCCATAGCAGATGTCATTGGTGGTACTCTGTACAGCAAAAACCTCTGGTTAAATCCCAGCACTCGGGAGGCAGAGGCAGGCGGATCTCTGTGAGTTCGAGACCAGCCTGGTCTACAGAGCGAGTTCCAGGACAGCCTCCAAAGCCACAGAGAAACCCTGTCTCGAAAAACCAAAAAAAAAAAAAAAAAAAAGATCACCCCCTTTTGCCTGGCCCTAGGTGTTGGCGGGGCCCACTTAATTGATCCTCTTTTGAGCTGGGTCAGACCAACCTTCTCAGGTGTGTCCCTCCGCAGGCCTTGTGCCTGCTTAGACATTTGCTATATTCAATAACACTCCCTCGGAGAAGTGCTGAATTATTTCCTCTAGGAATGCCGCTTGAGAAGCTGTTGGAATGGTGAAATATCAGCCTTGGTGGTCCATGTTCCTGGTGTTGCGCCTATGCCAGTGGAACACTCGGTAGAGAACCAGCTCATCCTTACACGACGCAAGAGACATCACAATGGACATTGTGGCTGCCACCATGGAAGCTATAATTTATCCCTCACCCAGTTGCTACAGCAGTCACACTGGATAAGCTCTCAGGGGAGGGTGCCTCTACCTTAAGTTCCAAAAATAGTATTAATTCCCTAGTGTAATTGGGCACTGTAAATCTTAATCAACAAATTTCTCTCTTAAATTTCCCAAATTAAGATTTTTTAGACCAGGGTGCCTCCCTTTTCGGGAGACAACCTCTTAAAGGGACTGCAGCTGACAGGTCAGTGACTTAAGGAATGGAGTGGGTCGCTAGCCCTCGGGATTATGGCCCTGGGCAGCCCAGTTTTAGCCCTAGTCTGCCTTTGCCAAAAGGGAAGGCTACAGGCCCAGCGCCATTTTCATATAAAGTGAATCATGCTTTCCTTGGCAGCAGGTAACCCCTCAGTGCCGGCCTGGTTGAACCTGCAAGACAAATGAGCAATCAATGACAGGTAAGACTCAGGGGAACATCTGTTAACCTAAGTCGGAGGGTCTGTGGGGCCTGGGCAGGCTTTTCAACGACGGATAAAGCAGATGTTGACGTCCCAGGCAACCTAAGGCAGACGCTCATTTTTATATAAATAAAAAAGGGGGAATTGTTGGACCCTTCCCCATAGGGATCTGCTGACCAGCTTGTGACAAGGAGCTTCTAGCAAATATTTCTTATTCTCCCTCCTCCCAGTAAAGCCTGAATGCAAGTTCCTGTTTTCTGCCCATCCTTATTGCCGAAGAGTCCTGGGAATATGTACATCTGACCTTGGTAGTTTTCTACCATGCCTGCTAACTGGTATATAATGCTCTCCTCTTGTTGCAATAAATGGCATTCTCCTTGCAAGAATGACCCGCTGTCTTTTGTCTTCATTTCAATCCTCAGGCCCTGGCCTGAATCCTTGAAGAGTTTTGTAGCCTGGGTACATCACATTTTTTAAAGTTAAGGGTTCAGTAATTTTTGAGACAAAATATCACTGTGTAGCCCTGATTGTTCTGAAGCTTACTCTGTTGACCAGTGGAAGCTTCAACTCACAGACTCCTGAATACTGAGGTTCTGCTATGCCCCGCTTAGGTTTTTTTTTTCCAGGTTTTTCAAGACAGGGTTTCTCTGTATTGTTTTGGAGGCTGTCCGGGAACTTGCTTTGTAGACCAGGCTGGCCTCGAACTCACAGAGTTCTACCTCTGTCTCCTGAGTGCTGGGATTAAAGGCCTGTGCCACCAACACCCGGCCTGTTTTTGTGTTCTTCGAGACAAGTTCTTGCTATGCAGCCCTAGAAGTTCTGGAACTTACTCTGTAGACCTTGAACTCACAGAGATCCGCCTTCCAGTTTGGGGATTAAAGGTGTGTGCCACCATGTCTGGCTCATTGCCTGCATGTCTGTACATGCTGCCCACAGAGGCCAGAAGAGAGTGAGATCCCTATAACTGGAGTTAAATGTGGTTGTGAGCTACCAGTGAATGCTGAGAACTAAATCTGGGTCCTCTGCAAGCACTCCAAGTGCCCTAAACTGCTGAACCATCTCTCCAGACTCTTGTTTTTCTTTTTTGAGATTTAGTTCACCTTTAGTGTATTTGTGCGTGTGTGTGTGTGTGTGTGTGTGTGTGTGTGTGTGTGTGTGTGTGTATGGTGAATGCGAGTGTGGGTTCCTGTGGGGGCCAGAAGGTGGTGTTGGATCCCCTGAAGCTGGAGTTATGGGTGGCTGTGAGCTGGGAATTGAACTTGGGTTCTCTTCAACTGAACTCTGAACCACCAAGCCATTTCCCGTCCCTATTAATTCATTTTTATTTTAAGTGAAGAGTGTTTGCCTATGTGTATATATATGTACCACATGTGTGCCTGGTACACACAGAAGAAAACAGCAGGGCATCAGATCCTACCAGGGTTGGAGTTATAGATGCTTACGAGCAGCCATGGGAACACTGAGAATCAAACTTCGGTCCTTTGCAAGAGCATTCAGTGCTCTCAACTGCTGGGCCAGTCCTTTTTTTTTTTTTTTTTTTTCTTTCCAAGTCAGGGTTTCTCTGTATTGTTTTGGAGTCTGTCCTGGAACTTGCTCTGTAGACCAGGTTGGCCTCAAACTCACAGAGATCCAACTGCTTCTGCCTCCCGATTAAAGGTGTGGGCCACCACTGCCTGACTCTCCTACCCATTCTTAATCATACCTGAGACTCTACTCCTTCACCCGGTAGAGATGTCCTAGCCTGCATGCATCCTACTTTTTCGTTGTTGTTCTTACTACATCCCATGATGGACATGAGGTCAGAGGACAATTTTGTGAAATTAATTCTCTCAGTCTTCCTTTCCATGGGCTCTTAGACTAGAGCTTAGGTCACCAGGCTTGCACGGAATGCACCTTCACCCATCAAGCTGAAAGACACCCCCAGAGTCGGGAGACCCTCACTCAAGTCTCGGGATAAGCCGACACCCCAATAATTCAAAAGAAACCGTTCTTGATGCAAGCACACGACGTTTATTAGGGGAACTAGTGCACTGGGGCCGAGCTCATAACCTTCACAGGGGCAGAGGAGTTTGACCCCTAGTAGCTGCAGTCAGGGGTTTTTAAAAGGGAAAAACCATAAAGTATGGGGGAGTTAGGTAAACATCATAAAGGATGGGGAAGTTAGGTAAACATCATAAACATAAAGGATGAGGAAGTTAAATGGTAGCTTGTCTTAACAGGAAGGTTATAGGTTATCTCAAGCAAGCATTTTTTAGGCATTGTACAGTTAAGCATTGAGCAGGAATGTGGTGAGCTAGTTCCTGGATCAGGGAGTGCTATCTTTTAAGTTTATCTTGAGGTCTCCAGTTTCTCAGGAGAGGGCAGAAGGACAAGTTACTCTGTGATGGGCTAGTCACTATGGGTCTAAAAATGTTGAGTTGGGATCTCTTAAAGCCATCTCATAGGCACCATACTAAGGACATACTCTCTGTTTATCCTCAGTGGAGACAGACATAAACCCAGAGGTCTGGCAACTCCAGGGAAGAATGGCAAAGCCATTATGGCCAATTCAAATTCATCTTAAAAACACCACTTTTATTTTCCTCATTGGAGGCAATCCCCTCTCTGGTCAAAGAAATTAACAGGGCCTATAAAGACAGTGCAGCAGTTTAGAGCACTGTTGCCCTTAAGGACCTGAGTTCACTTCCCACTACACGGTAGTTCAAATTATCCATAACTCCAGTTCCAGGGCATTTGACACTCTCTTCTGACTTCTCAGGGTATTAGGCACATACGTGTACACATACATACATGCATGTAAAACACCCATACACATAGATAATTCTAACAAATACTAGTAATGGCAGACAATAACCTAGTAAGTAAAGAAGGTTAGTATAGAACCTTTACTGCAGTAATGAGGCTGCGGTTCCCATCTACCCTACACTCTGTTGAGGGACTGTTCCCAGTCCACACACTCTGTTGACTCAAATTCCTGGGGGAATGATCCACAGTCCTAAGGTTAAAGGTAAAGGTTCCTTCTTTTACATTCTGCTGCACCTTGGTTGCCAGTATCTTTGTGCCTTTCAGGATCACTCAGGGGTGTGCTGTGATGTTGTGTAGCAATTTCCTCCCAGAAGAAACGTTCCATCCCAGATGGAAGATGTCTCAAGATAAAGTAAAATAGAATGGTCTCTGATTGAGGTCCTTGGGCCTCTCAATCGGGAAGGTAGGTACTCAAGGTTTGTGTGTCAGGAAGAAAAGGGATGGCCTCGGGGTCCAGACCCAGGCAAGGGCCTGCCCATCAGCCTACTAGGAACTAAAGCAGAGAGTCTAATTAGATCCAATGGCCAAGGCATAACAGCCTGCCTTAGGGCAGGAGTGTCAGGAGCTCTCTTGATCCCTGAAGTTACTAAGTTCACTTAGAGAAACAACCTATGGATGCTTTTTTTCCTTTCTTTTTTAATGATTTATTCTTAGTTTATGTACATTGGCATTTTGCCTGCACGTATGTCTGTGTGAGGGTGTCAGATCTTAGAATTATAGACAGTTGCTAGCTGCCATGTGGGTGCTGAGAATTGAACCCAGGTCCTCTGGAAGAGCAGTCAGTGCTCTTAACCACTGAACCATCTCTTCAGCCCGGACACTTTTCATGACGTACCAGACATGTTTTCCTCTACAGAAGTTTCTAATTAAATGATAATTGGTTTCTAAGACATGAGGCAGTCCCTTTGGAGGACCTGCCATTTAGTTAAGGACTTCTTCTTAGGGCTGGAGAGAGGGCTCAGCAATTAGGAACATTGGATGCTCTTGTAGAAGACCTAGTTTCAATTCCACATGGTGTGAACACCCACATAGTGCCTCACAACCATCTGTAACTCTAGTTCCAGGGAATCCAATGCCCCCTTCTGGCCTCTGTGGTCATTACACATGTAAGTGGTGCACATACAAACATGAAGGCAGGGGCTGGAGAGATGGCTCAGTGGTTAAGAGCACTGACTGCTCTTCCAGAGCACACTGGTTCAATTCCCAGTACCCACATGGCAGATTACAACTGTCTGTAACTCCTGTTCCAGGGGATGCAATACCCTCATAAAGATATTCATTCATACAGGCAAAACACCAAAGTACATAAAATAAAATAAATAATTAAAAAAACAAAGCAAACATGAAGGCAAAGCATCCATACACATATCCCACCCCACCCTCACCTCCCAGAGAGGGTTCTCTGTGTAACCCTGGCTGTCTGGAACTCAATCTGTAGACCAGGATGGGCTTGAACTCAGAGATATATAATAAATATCTAAATTGTTCCAGTATAATAAAAACTTGGGAGTTAGAAACTGAGACAAAGACCTGATAAATCCAAGGACATCAGAGAGTCCATCAGTTGACCCTCTCTCCACATTTTCCCTAAGCCAACTGCCCTGGAAATCCTTTCTTTTCTCTTTTTGCCTTCTCTAGCAGACCTCCTCAGTCCTCTAAGAACTCTATGGCTGATCCTGGTCAGCCAATTGCTGACTCCATCATTTGATATAAGGTGGCTTTATTGACACAGTGGAATGGCTGCATGAACAATTTTCCTCCAACATTATTTCATTTTTGTCTAAATAAAAGGAAAGGTTTTAACTCTATTTTTATTTTTATTTTTTTGGTTTTTCGAGGCAGGGTTTCTCTGTATTGTTTTGGAGACTGTCCTGGAACTCGCTCTGTAGACCAGGCCTCGAACTCACAGAGATCCGCTTGCCTCTGCCTCCTGAGTGCTGGGATTAAAGGCGTGTGCCACCAACGCCCAGCAGGTTTTAACTCTAACATAGTAAAAATAAATACAATATGAACAATTATCAAGAAATACATTTACAATGTCCAATCCATTAGTATTGGTAGTTCAGAGAAAATATTATATTATCTATCTTATATTGGTAAGTCCGAAGTTTTGTACCTAGTTTACTTTCTATCATAACTAAGGAATACTGAAGCTATAACTATCTAATCTTCAACCCCATCAGAGACCCAAGGATATATTATTACTTGAGTAAACAGGAAGTGCAGAGAGAGCAGCTTCCAAAACTAAGAAACAACAGAGATGCCTGGCTATCAGGACAGTCACCCAAGGTTCCTCTATAATGATGGGGCATCCATCTCTAGCCTACAGGAATAAAATATCTCACAGACTTTTCTATAAAGCAGGAGGTTTTTTTAAATCATTTTTTATTTTAATTTTAAATAGCTTGTTTTACATGTCAATCCCAGTTCCCTCTCCCTCCCCTCCTCCCGCACTTCCCTTCCCCCCACCCTCCCACCCTATTGCCAAATCCTTCCACATAGGGGATATCTAGAGTCTGTCATTTCACTCTGGGTAGGGTCCAGGCACTCCCCTAAGAG